ACGAGAACGATTAGGGTTCTCGTCCAAAACCTTTAGTTCTAATAAGAACCTGACCGCAAGGCAGCAGGTAAAGAGAAGCAAAAGCCCGTTTACTTGAAAAGATTACTCCTCTACCTGGAGGATCAGATTACCGAACTTAATCTGGTCTTTACCCTCTGACCTTGGAGGCGTGATAAGAACTACTGTCCTGATAAAAGCTCGTTGGGTCATAGAGGTGCACAAGCCTTCACACCACATCAAGGTGCAATATCTTTGAGACGGTGAATTCGACTTGCAAAAGTCCGTGTGAAGTAATCAAGAACCAATGAAAACAAACTGTAAATAAAGTTACAAGAAATTCAGCACTTGTCCATTACGTAACATGTGCATCCGAGAAATGTGCTCTGTACTCTAAAGAGCGATTGCATTTTACTTCCCGATTTCGTGATTAAAGAGTGAAGAATAAACCATTCCTGACTGCTTGGGCAGAAAAAAACCCACAATTGTCTATCTATCAGTCAGTAGCCTGCGGAATCATGATCAGAATACGGAAATCCAAGGGAGATAGCGTTTTTCGCTACATTATATCAAGTGCGCTTTGTGTATTCTTCACGGACTTAAGCAAACAGTACACCAGATCGTTCAGCTATCCTTCAGCAGCTAATTCAATAATAACATCCTGCGGAATGGTGTCAAATTATTGTCTATGATGAAATTCAACGGCACTGACGAAAAGGCCCACATACACGCATATACACACGACGAACCGAACTTTTGATTTCGGATCAGCCACTGGGCTTCGTTACCACAAGAATACAATAGAAAGACAATGTACTCGACTATATTTAGATCCATAACTCCATCATGATTTTTATCAACTGAGGCACCAATTCAAATGGCACAAGTCTACATGAAAGCCTCAGAGTTTTTATTTGATCTCAAGCCTCTGATTTTCTTGTTTTGTGAAAGACCGTGTTGGGTTGGAGGTAAACTAAATATCACGTCACCTTAGTGTTGAGATTCTCAACGACCACTGGTCATAATCGAGTCAATCTATCAATTCGATTCCGATTTGGGACTGAAAAGCGAAAGTATTCCAACGCAAAACAGTTGCGCATCTTTGTCGGGGCGTAGATCACTAACAGTTGGTGAGTAGTGCTGCACCAAACGATATTCACTGTGCTCTGTTGAGGTCAGACGTGCCAGAGACACTGGACAATAGTTTTGTTCTGGTTGGAACTCCGCGTCATTCTGAGTACGTACCATCCGAGCCGAAGATACTAGAGGTTCCGTGCTTGATTGGATTAGAGCGGCTACCACCCTGTAACCCTCCTCCCAATGTTGTCAAAAGTCATGGAGTCTATAGTAGCAGATTCCCTGATGGAACACCTAGAGAAGCACAACGTTCTGCCACCGAATCAATATGGATTCCGACAGAAGCGATCCTATGCTACAAATCTGCTTATCGCACGAGAAGAATGGACAGTGACGGCGACGCGGTAGATGTCATTTATCTAGACTTCTCAAAAGCGTTTGATCGGGTGAACCACGGCATTCTACTGCGGTAAATCTATAATCACAGTATTCGGGGCTTCATGCTTGGTTGGATCGAAGCATTTCTCCTACACCGGACCCTATCGGTTAGTGTTTCTGATTTGTTTTCCGGTCCTATGGACGTTACCCGTGGGGTTCCACAAGGATCTGTGCTTAGCCCGCGACTTTTCCTGACCTTCATAAACGACCTACCGAAGGCTCTGGGGCCGAAACCATTACCGTTTGCAGATGACGCCAAAATTTGGAATACATCGATGCAACCAGCGGGCTTGCTGGCACTCCAGGAAACGCTGAAAGCAGCTCATCTATGGTCTGTTATGAACGATATTGAATCCAATGTGTCGAAGTGTAAGGTTCTATCTCTACGATACAAGGGGCGATTTTCGTTTTTTCTCGGAAATGCCACACGCCTCAAGTGAGAAGGACCTGGGCATCATCATCCAAGAAAACTTAAACTGCTCACTCAACTGCGACAAGGTGTCGAGGCAGCTATGAAGAACGTCGGTTTGCTTAGGCCGATTTGAGTCAGCGCTTTTCCCCCGTCTACTATCAGCATACATTCGCCCACTCACAGAGTACGCTACCCAGACATGGAAGCCATGGCTACAACATGATTGCAAAATGCTGGAGCGTCCACAAAGGATGGCCACCAAAATCGTTATTCATGCGCAGAGAGACTGAAGTCGCTGGGGCTGTACTCCAATCAAAGGAGAAATGATTATGGTTTACCAAATAATGCAAAATCCAAGCATCCATGTGGCTTGCAGCTAAAATTATCACCCAACGCTCATATCCACGGACATACGTTCAAACTAGTGGTCTCAAAATGCCGATTGGAATGCCGGTGTCAGTCATTCGCAGTCGGAGTGTGTTCCATCTGGAACTCTCTCCCACCCTGTGTCGTCTGCGTACCAAGCATTGAATCTTTCAAACTGAGACTCGATCAAACATTAGCAGATCTTACATTCCAACATAAGTGAAGTTGAGTGCAGCAGTGGAAGAATCCCATATCATATAACATTTTACACAAGGAATTGTATGTATCACTGTCTTTTAACCACAGCTGGAATGTATGGGACGAGAAAAGCGTGAGCTTGTAAGTTATGCAGATAAAAAAATTTTGAATCTACTCAATAGCACCGAATTCCAGGAGACTTGATTTTAATATACCAAATATTACAGATCCAAAACCATCCATGTCCTCCGCGGCTCACGTTGTCGCCCCACATGCAACTTAGAAGACATCATTGTAACTTGCTGATTTCACAGTATTGATTGGAATGCCGGCGTCAATCTTTTGCAGTCAGAGTGTGCACCATTTGGAACCATCTTTCATCTCACGTCGTTTGCGCACCAACTGTTTAATTTTTCAAGCGGAGACTTGATGAAACCCTGGCACACCTCACTTTCCTACACAATTAACAAAACCAATCAGTTGAAGACATTATGTGTTATCCCCTACGTGGAACTCTATGTGATATTTATCACTTATGCCGAGAAACGATACACTTGCGTTAATATCCTGTGGGAACAAGAGAAGTATGAGCTTGTAAATAATTCCCGTAATCAAAGGTTGATTTAGAACAAACTCAAGTGTGTACGTTTGTCGATGCCATACACTGCCACCGTCATGATTTCACCGACTGGGAACAGGGAAACATTACACGGAGTAGCGATTGTCGGTCACGTGAACAGCATTCCTGTTTATAACGCCAGAAAAGACAGCACAATGCACTAAAACAAAATCGAGGATATGCTCAGTGGTGCACTTCCGGAATTCGCGGATTGGAAAATTGAGGTAAAACTTATTCATCAAGCAGAGTCAATGCGTCACATGGACTGAAAAAACCTTGTGCGTGGTATTGTGATTTAATGAATCGGATTTCCTAGCATATTTACCGTCTCGGGGGATCTATTAATGGAGCTCATCACAAATTCACGCATGGAATACAGCAATCTTTACTCTGTAGCTAGACTTCAATATGAGAGACTCGGTGGATCGACCATTTGGAACGATGTGACTCCATGCAAGTATGAGTGCAGGCAGGGAGTGAGGAAAGATAGCCTCGGTGGTTGTTCGATCATGTGAATTCCGTTCAACAATGTGTGCACGACCCCGGGGTTCGAGTTGGATCGTGCGATTAATTGTAATTCTGGTTGTAAAAATACGCAAATCCCTTCCCTTTCAAACCGGGAACATCATTGTCTGTCATGCATGGAAGAAATATAGGTGGATATATCAAGTGGACGGTTGAAAGGTCTCCTTGAGGAGACCGGAAAAACAGACCACTCAGGTAGGGTTGATAGCACACACACACACAGGAGCTCGAATCAGCTAAAGAAGATCAGTGTGTCTGTGAGCTACACGGAAGGTACGAGTGTGAGGGAGGAGGGAAGGGCAAAAAAACGAACAGAGCCAAGTACTAATAGATGGGATTCGATTGCCACACGATCGATTCGATGAGGATAGTAAGTGTGAAAAGATTAAAATAAGATAGTGTTCACGACTGATTGGATTGGAGAGCAAGAAAAAAAATACAAGACTATTTATGTCGTCTGAGAGCGCGGTTAGTCCGTGACCGTGATGTCTATCGGTTTCTTGACGTGAGAACAATCTATGTGGTCTCTCTCTCTCTCTCTCTCTCTCTCTCTCTATATATATATATATATATATATATATATATATATATATATATATATATAT